CGATCGACGAGTTAAAGGAATTTGAAGACGACATGCTAAAAATGATACAATCGACGAAACTCAAACAAGTAAACAACCCTTTTCTCAAGACGACGAAGACGACACCAAACGCATAAAAAACGAAACCAAGCTACTCATCGCCGCTGACAAAACAACGAACCTTTACAAACTAGAACCGTCAACATACAACGATCTACTAAAGCAAAATAACACAAAGTCCTACAAAAAAGCACAACCTAATACCACACGAGCCATCCATTCAGAAAACAAAAACATCGCAACGAAACGAGGCATCGATGACAGAGTGGACATGACAGCTAACAAAGACGCTTTCATAACACTGAAAGACCACAAACCGAACTTCGCTAACAAACCGACCTTCCGACTAATTAACCCCAACAAATCCGAGATAGGCAGAATCAGCAAAACAATCCTCGACAGAATCAACAGCAAAATCACGAGAGCATCCGAATTCAATCAATGGAAAAACACAGCATCCGTGATCGAGTGGTTTAAAGCCATTAAAAACAAACAACACCACAGTTTTATTTGGTTTAACATCGAATAATTCAACCCCTCCATCAGCCAAGACCTCCTGAAAGAAACACTCATCCTCCTCCGCTTGGCTGGGAGCTCCTGCGTTATGCAGTTATGCTGGGTATTTACCATCAAAGTATGTATTTAAGAGGTAATTTAGTGTTAACAACTTAAATTAGCCACCGTAAAGGGTAAAAAAGCTAGACTAAAGCTGACACTTCGAGCGTTAGCCCTTCGTCAGAGCGATGCATGTATTTAAGAAACGTTTTTATGGAACTTTGCACATCGTACCAGTGGAGCGTTGTGAGGACTTCTTTGTTTCAGACTCAACGCAAGTTGAGCCTGCCACTGTTGCAGTCAGTTTTTGTTTATTAACAAATAGCTAGTTATTGTTTAGGAGCCGGTTTTTTTTAGGGGGGGGGCAAAAGATTTAAGGGGGGGGGAATCAGTCGTCGTCAACAAAGTATAAGGGAGGAGTTAGGGTAAATTGATTTCAATTAACATCCAGTGAGAAAGAATCATAAAACATAAAGCATTAATTGAAACAGCTGTAATGCTGAGTCAATACACTAAGTAGAATATGTTTTTTTCACAGCTCACAAAAACAGCATTAGCGCTGGAGTTTTTGCCCGGCAGGGACTTCGCTGGAGTTCTTCGAGGGGAGGGAGGAAAACTGAGTGAAGAACGCGCCAGGTAAGTTTTGAATGAACATAAATTTTACGCCTTGTGAAGGAAAAAAAGCTAAGCATCCCAGGAGTATTCAAGGTTGTTTTCCTCATTGTCACTCATGCTCATTAATTCTTTACCAAAATGTAGGCTTTTTCTATGCCGCTTTTAATGCATTCGGTCTTAAGTTTGCAGACTTGCAGTTGCTTATTTTCTTTCGACTAAGACCGAGATTACAACGTAGAAAGTCAATTAAATGTATTCATACGACAGCGTCTGGTATTTCAGGTTTTACGCCGTCGACATCGGCCTAAGATTAAAATATTTGAATTCAAAAAAAGTCATCCACAGGTATGTTTGTGGCATAACGCACTCAGTAATGTCTCATTTCGAAGGAAAAATTTGCTTTTTACTCAGTGTCTTGGAGACCTTTGTCAAACAACACAGACGATATTGATAACGATACCAGTAACGATAGAGAAAATGACAGCGACAACGATAACAATAAGACTGACGACAAGAATTATAGGAACGAGAAGGATTATGGGAATGATAAAGATACTTCATAGTTTAGAGAAGATAAAACAGCCGGCATACACCCGTTTCTTTCCAATTGCTTCTAGGATACAAAAAGATCTTCTCGTTCATTCCGGCTTAATTCCAATGTCGATTAACTTACCTTCCCTGTCAAACAAGCTATCTTGGTGCAAATTGGCTAAAATATAATGCACCAGTGGTGGACGACGAATCTTAGTGAGAAAACGAGAAAGGGCTTGTTTTTGAAATCGTGGCGCCACAATTGACATGAGCTGTATTGGATTGGAATCTAGAAAGAACAGGTAGAAGATTTTCCATTATAACAGAAAAATTGATGTAAATCTGGTTTGCCCTGATGTAAAGTGATGTACACTAAAAATGAGTGAAAGAAGTTTTTTCCAACCTATTTCGTCCGAGATCCAAAACCGGAAAATATTCTGGTAAACTCAAATGGCCACCTGAAGTTGTCAGACTTCGGTCTGAGCGAAGTTGTCGCCTTTACAATCACTGAAGAATGTGGAACTTATTCATATATGGCGCCTGAGGTATAAGGCATTGTAGCAGATTATACTGAAAAGTCTTTGTTCAAATTTCTGGTGTTTTTTCTCACTATTTATTTACCTTCTCGTTAGATTTTTAAGAAAGTTCTTCTTTCTTTTCCTCTTACGCTGAGGGTAAAATGTATTCCTGTAATCTTCCACTAAGGCCAATCTTAAGTCAAGGCATTGTCAAACGAGATCCAACAATTTTCTCAGCAACAAAAGGGTATGTAACCTCTCTATTTTTCACGAAAATTTGACAAATTATGATAGTAATATTTTGTAATGCCTCTCCGCCCTCAGTTCCGACAAAAAGAGAGTAGAAGGACCCCCTGCCAGAAGACCCTGACCACGCCCTTGTTAATACATTGATATTTCAAATCAGGCTCATGCAGTTGAATTCTTAAAATACTTTTTGCAATGCTAATGAACTGCACTCAATCTGTGTTACAGATGATCATGGGAGAGCCTTATACTTACTCTGTGGACTGTTGGTCCTTTGGCGTGACTTTATTCCTGATGCTAACCGGCAAGGTTTGTTCAAATAATGTTGCCACAACTCACTCATATAAAACATGTTTGCAGTGTCAATTTAATGATAACGACAGTGATATTGAACTTGGATCAATACACTCTCAACATCTGTAAATAATAACTGGCCCTTGGGAAGGACGCAAATGCTTACGAATCAAACCTTTAACAGTGAAGTAATCATGAATTGCCATTACCTTTCATCCCATGGGAAGAGGACACCTTCCTGTGGCAAACATGGTAAGGGGACATACCACCCGAAAAGGGGATTTGTTTTAGGCTTCAGGTGTCCTAAAGGTTACAGAACAGATTACATTAAATGGACAGGAAAGGAGGTTGGAAATAGTTCTTTTCAGTCCTTTGTGCGTTTGTGAAATGATTGAAAGTTGTACATGACAGCGGCATCTTTTCTGCAAAATATGGCAAAAGAAAAGACTGAGAAGGGCTTGGATATGACTGAGGACCGAAAAAAAAACATAAATAAAGGTTCCTACCCCCCATGGGGTATGCTATACAAAACTTACCGAGAGATATACATACATGTACATGTTTATAATTTAAAAATCATGAAATTTATTATTCAAACTAAGTTTTAGTAAACCTTTACATTAATATGGATTTTCTCATGAACCAGCTGTCAGTTATGTTAAATGGAAATTGCCAACTTCCACAATAATTAACAATAATTACATTGTTATCTTACTTCCCTAACCTACATTACTGGTTGCCTTTGTTAGAAAACCTTGGAACAGTCAAGCTCAGTTGCCTCAAACGCTGTCAGAGACTTTTTGTTGACAATACTTTTAGTAGAAATTTCATGCCTTAGACAAACAAATTCAACACCTAATTAATCTTTCTTTTTTCATGATTATTGTTGCTGCTTTTTTTTTCAGTTTTTTGCTCTATTTTCATGACTAATTGCTGTAATTTGTTTTGCTGTTTTTATTCTTACAAAACATTTTTGTAAGAGTTCCAATACTTGTGGATCATCCACACACTTTGCAAACATTTGGCATGCAGACAAGACAGAGGTAGTCAATGTTCCCTTTGAGAAAAAACACCTTTTAAATGACGTCTTCAATTTACTTTATTTGAAACTCTGATCTGAAAATATTTGTCAACAAGACTTGTTAGTAGTGAGAAGTACCAACCAAGTTTCCTTTCATAACTTAATTTCTTAAATGTCCCAATCACTGGATCTCCCAATAAATATTACGTCTTTTATTTTTGGTGCATATTACAAGTCCTTCTTGATATAAAAATGAAAAGTGCTAGTCACACTTCAATAATAACAGCTCTTAAGTTTACTTGTTGTTCTTCTCTGTCTGTCAGCTATCAACAAAATCGTTTTATACTTCGGGCAGTGCATAACTATTTGTGGACCAGAGTTCCAACGCACCTCTGTAATCGCATATAGCTACTTCTATCTCTTGTACAAATGTTTCTCCTTTGTAAGACGCACTCTACTCTGTTGTCAATACTGCTTTAAGTTCAGTGGAAACGACTGACTGAGGAATCGAGATGGCGGTGTTGGAACGTGTTGCTGAACGCTTGCTACGGTCAAGCTTTGTAGATTTAGGTACTGGTACACTGGGATCATCTATGTATCTCTTATACTTCCGAATGTGGTATCCTTCTTTTATAAATATGAGGGTAAAAGACGATTTGTAGTCGCATTCAAAACTGTGATTGGCTTGTGTTATTTCTCACCTTTGCCATTAACACAACTCAAGTGAGTTTCGAGTCTTTGTTTCCTCAACAACTTTCGGCCACAAATCGTGCATTTGTAATACGATCGATTCTTGTCGATTATTTCTACAGAGAGTGAGCTCACATCATTATTTATATCACCAAGGTACCATCTTCTAGAAGCAGAGAACCGGTTGAAGAGGTCAGAATAAGTTGTGCGCTTCTCTTAACACTGCAATCGGCAAGCCAGCGGATTCACTTTGCTAGCCAATGACAAGTCCTAAACGATCCACGTGATCATGCCCGTGATCGGAAACAAAGAAGACTCCATTTGGCGCTCATCTTTGAATGTACTTTTCATCGGTTGATCGCTTTTCTCAACTGTTTTGCTTTATATAACATTTCTAAAGATAGCTTTTATTGTGGTTCAATGGGAAAACGAGAATAGCGTGAGTGTTGTAAAAGAAAAGAAAGTCGTTGGCGCCGTGGAGTTAAAAGAAGGGACAACAGTTGACATATGGACTGGTACAAACAAGGACCGAGTGGCCGTCTGTAAAGCTACGATTTTGAAAGTTTGTGGTGAGTAAAAATTGCGATATTCGTTACGTGATTAAAATCTTATAAAAGAATAGATGTAGCGGGTTGAATTAAGCTTACATAACGCTCGGCGCAACTGAAACTAGAATAATTCTGAGAATCGAATCGGTCACTTGCATGCCGCAGTTTCTTAAGCTTGTGAATTACAATGAAATAAACCTATCTGTAAGGTTTCAAGATTCCTTTAGTCACGTTTGGGAACATTCAAGATTCATAATAGGAACTGTTATTAAACAAACCTTAGTACATAAAGAAGCCCTCCTTGGTAAAAACAAAATAATGTATTCAGCCCTTTTTTAGTAAAATCCATGAGAGAGATGTACTAACTCCAATATAAAAGTCACTCAATAACAACAGAGATTTCTCAATTTGAGAATCCAATGAATGCCCTTTTCCTCCTAGCCATCTTAAAAGCCTGGTCTGAGCTTTAAATATACATATTTTAATACATTATTTTTTTTTCAAATTCAGATGTCAAGGAATCCAGATACAAAATGGTCAAGGTTCTTGTAGACAACCTCATTCAAGGCCAACTCATTGTGAGCCCAGTACAAACAGCAGCTAAGTTTTCAGTTTAGGATAACTTCATTCTAATTAATTGTTACAGTTACAACAAGATTTTAATCAAAAAATCAATTTTATTTGTCTGTAATTAGCCCCTTCACTCCCAAGAGTGCTTGGTTTTCAAATATAACTTAAGATATTGTATTTTATGGAAAAGAATCAACAGATTTTATTCACAATTTGTGTCAAACCAAATTTAATGATTGATTAGATCTATTTTATATGAATAGCTGTAATTGAGGATTAATCCGTATGAAGTTTTCAAGAAAAGAAAAATAAATCAAATTCCATCCTGATATTACCACACATTGATGTTAATAATTAATCACAAATATTTTACATGAAAGCCTTAATTAAGCTTCTAAATAAATTTCATTAAATACTTGAACTCTAGCTGGGTTTTTTTAATTTAAAGTATTTATTTTATATCATTAGCCTCAAATTTTTGCTTAAAATTCCCAGTAATTCTTAAACATTCCTAAAAATTCCCAAAAATTCCCAGAAATTCCTAGGAATTTTTTAGATTTACAGCTTTTCAGGGAAAGTCATTGGTTCTCTGAGTTGCAATTCCTAGGAATTCCTAAGAATTCCAAGTCCTGTTGGCTTTAAACTTGGAATTTCTGGGAATTTCTAGGAATTTCTAGGTTTTTAGAACCAGAGTTGTTATGGTTGGGAATTCCCAGGAATTCCTAGGAATTCCCAGTCCGAATTTACCGTGAAAATTCACATCTTTATTCCTAGGAATTCCTGGGAATAAACTCCTAGGAATTCCTAGGAATTCCAAAAGCCATTTCGCAAGGGATTGCCTTTTAAAGATACCTATTAAAGCTGTATTCAGAAGCAAAGACACGTAGGTAGTATACTTCTGCCTTATTTTTATATTAAGGGATTTCTTTTTTATGTAACATATATCCATTTCTTTAATTTCCTCCTTAACCTGCCTGCAAATAATTAAATTTTATGTTTTAATTCAAGTGTGAGAAGATAAAACAGAAGTGTTGCAGAGTTCTCCTTCCAGACTGAATTCAGGTGAGAACATCAGTAAACTAGTAGATGTCATATGCTTCTCCTGAATCTTATTGCTCTGTGTTTTTTTTACAAAGGGTCTTTTATATCTTTGTGTGCCAGCTAATGAGTAAAATCTCGTTGAATAGATAATAAATAAATCCATCTTAAAGTTTTTGGCATTTACTATTTTAAAATTCATAAATGGCATTCTCTTTTAACCCATGTAAAGAGATATTACACATTTCTTAAACTAAAATCTGAATCATGAAGTCAACTTAACTTTAATGAGTTTGAAACTTCATTGTAAATAAGAACACTTTACTGGAGTATGTTACATTTATTTGCTGCCTTTCTGGTGCATATGATTACATAACCCTTTAACTCTGAAGATCTCATTAGTAATTCTCCTTACTGTCTGCCAAACAATTTATGTGCTGTTAGGTTGGAGGATTTGGAATTGGATCAACCAATTATCCCCTAATTGATGTTTTTCCTTATTCTCATTACTTGTCTGTTTGATAATGTACTGATGGTGTAAGGAGAAATTCTCTCTAGATCACCAGTGAGACTAAAAGGGTTAAAATGGGGGATTTCATTATATTGTAATGATTAAAATTGTTCAAAATGTAGCAAAAAAAGAATGTTATGTTATGTTTCATTTCTCCCTGCTCTAAATATAGTGGAAAAACCTGTTGCTGGTTGCTTATGTCTTTAATGTTTAAATGTTCATGGGAAATGCTTTTTTCTTTTTTAATTGAAGATAGAGAAGTTTTCAAAGCTGATAGAAATAAGCTGTTTGCAAGTAATGAAAAGCAAACTGACAATCATACCTCAATGCTTGACATGCTTCTCTCAAATATGTCAGTTGTGTGTATCTACTATTGAAGTGGTGTCTTTCTTGTGCTGTGGTTCATGAGCCGTCACCTCTCATCAAGTCCAGCTTTGTTCACCCCCATTGTACTTGCCTTAAACCAACATCTACCAGAATCCTTTAAATAGTTGATACTAAGATAGGAAAGAGCCCTGGTGGTCAGCATTGAGTTTGGTCTTTTCTCATGATAAATTTTGTAAACAAATACGGGGTTTCTCTCATTGAAAACCCAGTACTTCTGACAGGTTCTTTGTGATTGGACAAAACGTTTTCTCCACAGGTGAAAATGTCATTTCTCTGATTTGATTGGCTGTAAACAGCTGTGAATGGCAAAAATATTTGACAGATCATAATACTTACTTAATGACTGAGTGGGAAGTCCGTGCATCATGATTGAGAGCCAATATTTTCCATCCGATGAGTACGGGAAAGAGCCAGTTTGAATGTGTCTCAAAAGGATAATTTTTAGAATATCCTCTCAAAAATCCCACTCAAAACTTACTTTTGTCTCCTTGGAGTCCCCTAAAATCTTGCATGTTTGTAGGTCAGTGGACACGCATTAGGAACCAAGGAAGGTTCACACATTACTGTTACATTACATGCAATAATAAGATACATGAAAAAGTTACTCAGTTGCGATTGGTTAAGGTAAATGCAGCCTATAGGTGATTCAATGCAGAAGAGGGTTAATTCGGTGCAAAGAAGTAACAAACCAGACTAAACAATTCCTTGAAATGTTTAGCCGGACTTTGAATTTTTTTGCGCCTTAAAGATGGGAAAATACCATTGCATATTATTGTTTTGATTGTATGTGGTTGTTTTTACCAAACGTACAATGTCATTTGCAGGCTTTGAATAAATTATTTTTGCACTTGATGTGCATGCTTTGCTTCTGCATAATTATTATAAGCTTTCTCAATCACAATTTTTCTCCTGCAGTTTGGAATAAATAAGCATGAGTAAATTTTTTTCAAAGACCACAGACACATGGTTTAAATGTTGTAAAAGGGTTAAGATTCCCTCTGCTATGCTTCAGCACGTTGATAATTTTGTTTCAAGAAAACATTTTGTTACGCTGTAAATGATCATGTCTTAGATTGGTCAAAAAACTGACAGGTGAATTCATGCGTGTAAATGAACTTTATTTTCTGATTGAATACAAAATTCTCTGAGGGATTTGTTTGCTGACGTCATGAGCGTGCACAATAGGAATATGAAGCAAACTCATGCAATTGAATTTGATCAGACAAATTTACTAGCTATGTTGTAAAATGAATTAATCGTATGACAGTGAGGAAGGGAAATTCACTTTTTCATGTTGGTTTGATTCTTGGCTGGTTTAAAAGGCCCAGTGAGATAAACAATATACCAGGCATAAATTGACTTCACTAATTTAACAGCAGTATGTTTCACTTAATTTTCAACAGTGTCACACTTAATTTTGTGAACTTTTACTCCTTTTTTTTGTGGAATAGACTTCTGTCAAACATGCATAACAGAGAGGGTCTTGTTTCTGCTTGCATGGTTCATTTACAGGGTATTTAAAGATATTTATCAAAGACGAGGGAAATAATTTAATGCAATGTTTCCTCCTCAACTCCTTGTGAGAAAATGGTTTCCTCAGGTAACATGACTTGTAAACCAATTATAATGAAGAAATTGAACTCAATCAGCTGATACAGAATTTTTAAAGTTTTTTCCATTCATAACCCAAAATTAGTTAATTTGAATTAGCTGCAAGAGAAAGGTAACAACTTGAAAAGGTTTCCTTCAAACTTGAGTTGTGTTGATTTGTTCTGTGTGTTTAAATTTATTTGATTTTTAGGGTACTCTGAGGGACGGGACACAATTTGACAGCAGTATCCCTCGAGGAGAACCATTCGTGTTTACATTAGGAGTGGGACAAGTTATCAAAGGTGGATACTTGTGATATAGCATGCATGACTATGTGCAAAACGGGCTGATATTTGTAGTTTGCCATGATATTATGCATTTAAGCAAGTGATTGCACTTTCTACTGGTTTACCAATTAATTACCCCATGTGGGAAGTGGGGAGAAGGCAAGAAACATTTGGACATCACAAGCTTATGGGGATCTATTACTTTAATTTATTAACAAGCATTGGGTTTAATGGTTTGATAAACTTTAGGTTTCAGAATGTTTATAGTTAACTTAGTTCCTCAAACATCTCATATGTTTTTTTTACCCAACTGTTTTATTTTATAGTCATTTGTTATAAGGCAGGGAAAACAAAACAAATAGAGGAGTGGTTTGGGACAGGTCTTGTAATGTTCTTGTTGGATTACATTTTAAAATAACCAACTGTCCAAACAGCTGAGCAATTTCACATGATATTTGTACTCAATTTGTGCATTATTTGTACTCTCTGAGAGCAGTTGAATAATCATGTAAGATATCTGGTGTATATTAGAAGTGTTTTTACTATTTAATAAGTCATGATTTAATTTTTGTTACAGGATGGGATCAAGGACTATTAAAGTAAGTTACAACTATAGACCATTCATCATTTGTTTTTAAGTCTTATTTATACACAATAAATTCCTCTCTCCACATTACTTACATTTTCAAACTACTTCCTCAAACTTTTCCAGAACTGTACCGAACTATACAAGAAAAGTAAACTGTGAAAAGCAAGCTTTTGAACCTTGTTGTTCCTTATCTTAATTTTGTTAAAGCTGGGGTGAATTTTGTAGTAAAAGTGCTAGTGCATATGAGTTATGGAAAAGTGGTCTGGATTTAGTAGTCTGGTGTAAGAGAATTTCTGGCCAGTGATTCAATGTTCAGTGTGCAAGCATGAAGTGTCAAGCATAGTCCACACAACATGGCAGGTATAGATGTATTGGCGGTCTATAAAATTGACATTTTTTTGCTCTCTCTACTTCTAGCCAAGGCTGAAGAGAACCTGAACAGTTGCTAATAAACTGGCTTCAAACCATTCAGCAAATGTGGAACTAGCAGCAACATAAAATTATTTTTACCCTTGTGGTTTAACCTGTTCAATTACTTATAGACATTAAATTACAAAACATGAAAACCAACCTCTTTGGAAGTCCTTTTTTCATGCAATCTTGAAAAGCATCAGTTGATTTGTTGACAACTTCAAATACAGTTATTGCAAAAATTTCAATAACTATGAAAAAAATGAAATATTTCTAGTCAGTAGAGTTAAGCCAAAGGGTTGTCATTTGATTTGGTATTGTTTTAGCCTACAAAGTATAATCTTACACTGTTAAATGGGCACTTGATTAGTACAGCAACTAACAATGGCCAGTGAAAAAGAGATTCAAGAGAATAGGGTGAGCTGGGAAGAGCTGAGGAGGAAAGGGAAGAATAGGCAACAGTGACGTTCTCTTGTTATGATCATATGTGTCTTAGGGTATGATGGGGACAGGCTGACTGACATATGGTATAGTTCCTATAGTTCTTTTTGGTGCCCAGCTACCAGCTTTTCTGTTTTAACATTTTGCTGTTACTTACTCAAGGTATAAATAAACTTCTTGTTGTTATTGTTGATTGAAACTTTTTTTTTTCGTGTTGTTTTTAGTATGTGTGAAGGAGAAAAGAGGAAACTTGTAATCCCATCAGACCTTGGTAAGTCCCTGCTCTGATATTTAAGTATATAATTTACGTCCAGTGCAGTGAGTTAGAATTGTTGCCAGTAGATACTAGTAGGATTGATAATGGGGCAACTCACCTTGCTTGAAATGCAAGCTTATGTAGATATAATTTATCTGTTACATACAAGCAAGCTGAATTATGCAAGAATTCTACCAGTCATATTCTTATTAAAATAATTTTCAGCTGTTTTTGCTATACTAAGAGGAATTTTCTTTCTTTTGTGCAGGTTATGGGGACAGAGGAGCTCCCCCTAAGATCCCAGGTGAGTAAACAGCTTGTGGTCAACAGAGACAATGCTGAGTCAGAGCATTACATGAACACCGAAGATATTGATACCAACCTCTGAAATTGTGAAATCTGGAAAGATTTGATTTTGAAGCATGGCGTCAAAGCCACCCCACCCACTTCCCCCACAGATTTGTTCATCAACACTCTGCTAGTCTCTCCTCACAGCCTGCAAGTTTGCACATAATCTGACAAAAAAGGAAAAACCACAAAACTACAACTATCTTATTTAAGGAATTATTTTGAAGTATTAATTGCTCATAATTCATATTGTCTCAGTACACTCTTAAACTATGTATTTAACCTAAGGTCACCAGAGAAATTTGAAGTAACCATGACAATGCAAAACACAGGGCAACAAACCAAGTGGTCTATGAGCAATTGTAAAGTGGCAAATAAAAATCCCTTAACACTTTGACCCCTAAAAGTTACCAGCAGCTAATATCTCCCTTTAGTATATACCACACAGGTGAATAGTACTTTTCACACGCACTGATTGGCTATTTGGAAGTGAATAGCAAGTACTAATCACCTTCCAGCAGCCGATGACACAGCACGTCAAGAGTTTAATTTCTGACCATTTTTTGCTATATTGAAAGAAACAAACTAAATTTTTGGTATCTGTGCGGTACCTGCTAAAACAATTATTTGCATCCACTTTTGTGAATAATTGTTGAATAATATCAGCCCTGAGTCAGACATTAAGGTCACAAGAATAAAGGAAATCACCAACTAAAGAAGCTCTTGATTGTTACACAAAATTTTTCCTTTTAACAGCCTAGGAAATGTAGAGAGAACAGTGTCGAAAATACCCATACTGATGTTAGGCCAGTTAAGGTGTAAGGGGTTCTTTCCTTGTGGGATACATGAAGGGCTTCTTCAATCATATTCCGGCATGAACTTTTTTCCTCAAAACGCAACTTAAAATGAATTTACGCCAATTATTTTATCTTTTCAGGGGGCGCTACATTGGTATTTGAGGTTGAGCTGTTGAAGATAGAGCGAAAAACAGAATTGTAATCAGATCTTGAACACCATATAGCGTGAAGGAAATCTTCTGATGTCAGAACTTTTTGAAAATAAAACTGTCTGTAAGAAAATCATAGAATACTTTCTGTTCATGTTAATTACGCTTCATATTTATTTATTTATTTATTTAGATTTTCGGGAAAGGACGGTTTTTGATTGACGAGAAAAGTGTTCTTTGATTTTGTGGGTAGAAAGTTATCGGTTTTTGGGCATATCTCTAGCACAGAATATGTCCCCGCATTTCAAACTTGAATTTCTCCCACGTGCTCCTCAAATAGACTTCCTGTTGACCTTTTTGAGTCATGGGTTTGGATTGCCATGAGTTTTCTTAAAGGAACCAATCACACCCAAAGACTTCCTACTACAAGTAATGACAATTGGCGCATTCATTAAAGTGTGGTGTTGTCAAGTGCCTTAACAAGCGCCTTTGCAAGCGTCTTGACCAGCGCCTTTACAACCATGTCCTGGAGGGGCTCCTAATGACCGTTCAATCTTAAAATATCCATTTAGCGTTAGAACCCCTAGCCGAGTCTACATGCAAAATTTGAGCCAAATCAGTGAACCTGCCTCTCCGACCAGCCTCTCGGTTTGCAATTGGAAAATTCGCTTAAACAGAGTGTTCATGAACACTTTATAGCATTCAAACGCGTAGGAAAAATCTGTCGTAGTATCGGTAATACTAGGATTAAATACAGGTCTTAAAAAATTGTGCCATTTTAATTCCAACAAATCTGATGTTCTTGACACGAACTAATTATAACTAGGTCTAATTCCTCCAAAAGTTAATTAAAATTTCCATTGGACTGAAACTAAGATAATCGAACAATCAAACGACCAATTATTTTTCAAGTTCTATGGAAATCTTTACGAAAACATATGGCTTTAATAGCTTTATGTAAACCTTAAGGCAAAAACCGATTGAAAAAATCTGATGTTCGTGACACAAAAACTAATTAAAACTAGAAAAAATTCCTCCAAAAGTTAATTGAAATTTCCATTCGACTGTAACTAAGCTAATTTAACAATCAAACGACCAATTATTTTTCAACGTCTATGGAAATCTTTACACACGCATGTGGCTGCAATACTTTATATAAACCTTAAGGCAAAAACCGATTGAGAAAAAAAAATTGCAAAAACATTTTGGGAATACGTTTTCAAGGTGTTTCAACTTGAACGTAAATATAACACCTAAAACTTGTTTACAGATAACAACCTCGTTCATTTTAGATAAAAAAATGTGATGATGATTTCAATACATCACTAATTTAAAAAAATTACTTTTAAGCTAGTTCGAACAGTTCATTAAAAATAAAAAAATGCAAAGTCTTTTTTCTTCTGCTTGTCCAAAATCCTTATAGCTCATAAGAGCATTTAAGACGTGGAGTATCAACTTTTGCAAAAACAGAGATCCATATGGGCTCTTGAAGGCTCTTTCGCTTCTCCTGCTCTCAGTAGAGGACTCTTACAGAGATTTTATAGGTAGCCTTGAGGTTTCTGCTCCAAATATGAACGCTTGCGGACAACTTTTTACTTTCTTGGGTTCTGTCTTTTCTATGATACAGCTCCAATTCTCACTGCCTTAACTGAAAAGTAAAAAAAAATTATAATTCAGGGAGAATCGTTGAGATCATCTAAAAATTTTTCATTCGGCCTTACGACATGAAACGATAAATTGCCCAACAATTATTATAGCAGAAAACTGTTTTTCACTCCTATCAAATTATCTAAGAAAAAGTCTGTGCCCACTCAATTTAAAAGCATTTCAATTTCTTCGGGAAAAAAAGAAACTCCCAAACTTTACACAGCAAGATAACGAAAAAAGCATTTATGATCAAATATCTATCTCTAATTTGGATTTAAAGTTACTTTGCAATGCATAAATGTTATGAATAGAATAATTACATGGATCAGCAACTAGATGTCGTTGAAATCAAGTGTGACGTCATCACCAATGAGTACAAATGGTGCCCAGTACTTCACCTCCTTGAAGGTTTCGGATTTTCTCAAACACTTCATGGCCTGATTGAGAGCTTCACTTGCCTTCTTGCCTTTAGCAAGTGCATCGTAGAAGAAACTCATGAACTCCAGGGTTCCTTCGTCTGCAATCGCCCATAGGGTTACCACAACAGCTCTAGCGCCAGCACCCAAGAATGCTCGGGCGACGCCAACCACACCCTCGGCCATGACCTCCCCACGAGCACTGTGACAACAGCTTAGAACAACCAGTCGCGCCCGCAGCCCAGCCTCCATGACATCTTTCATCGTCAGTAGATAGTCCTTCTCTTGAGGTTGAGGGGTTTCTCTTGTGGTGTTTGGTGCCAGGATAACTTCACCAGTTTCCATTTTACCATGTGCTGCTATGTGTACTAAAGCCACTGATGAGAGTCGTTTTAAGACTTCATCTTTTGTTGCCTTTTCTCCAATGAGAGGGGAAATACTGAGGATTCGTCCAATCATCTCCGCCTCTTTCCTTGCTCCCGGAAGTTGTACCAACCGTCTTCCTTGATAGATGATCTCTTCAAAACATGGGTCGCCAACAAGCAATGCACCGCTCTTCAGGTGAAATTCAGCTGGGCAATCATTGATTAGTTGTAAGGTCGTCAGGGACGGAAGCACGCGGATTCTGAATAAATCACTCAGATAAGTTGACTTCGAGTCCTCCAATGCTGCATAAGGCACAAGACAAAATGGTCCCTCAGGAACAACCGTAAGCTCGTTTCCTTCGATCAGATCAGCAATAGGAGTAACGATGATGTCATAAAGCTTCTGTAGAGCACTTAATTGCGAGTTCCTTACATCAATTTGAATCATATTATTCGCTGCTTCCTCCGCTTTCAGCGAGTCATGGGAAGGATTTTCGTATTTAACAGCATCTCTTGAATCGATCTCTTTCAAGGCAGTTCTGTTCAGTAGCTCGATGAAAAATTCCAGTTCCTCTTGATACTTATAATTGTTGACACGTACCTTTCTCAACTGGACATTATCGTCGCTAAGGAAAACCCAGTAGTAAACGCACGGTCCACTGATAGCTATGAAAACCGTACCTAATGGAACAAAACTCAGGGTAAGGAACGAGACGCTGTTCCTTGAAGAATATCGGGGCTGATATTTTGCTTCTAGCAGATCTTTTAGAGCTTGAGCACGTCCTTTTTCTGCGGCAAGAAGAGCGTTGACAAATTCATTTTGAATTAGGTTTATACGCCACAAGCCTGTGTATGCACTTTTATGCTGATTACGATAAGAAATCTTCCACTGATCGTTGAATCGCAGACCGGCCCTGATACTATCAAACCCCTCTACAGAAGAGTGAAAGCAGTCAGAAGCCCTCTTGAGATTTCCTTGGCACTCAAAACATCTTCCAAGAGAACAGAGTGAGGATGCCTCTCCGGCCTTGTCTCCCACTTCCTTCGCAATTTCTAGATGACGTTGATGGTAATCGATTGCTGTTTTGAACTGTCCTAGACTATCATAAGCGCAGCCGAGATTGCCATAACTGTTTCCCTCTCCGGCCTTGTCTCCCACTTCTTTAGCAATTTCTAGATGACGTTGATGGTAATCGATTGCTGTTTTGAACTGTCCTTAGACTATCATAAGCGCAGCCAAGATTGGCATAACTCTTTCCCTCACCGGCCTTGTCTCCCACTTCTTTAGCAATTTCTAGGTCACGTTGATGGTAATCGATTGCTGTTTTAAACTGTCTTAGACTACAATAAGCGCAGCCGAGATTGGCATAGCTGACTCCCTCTCCGGCCTTGTCTCCCACTTCTTTAGCAATTTCTAGATGACGTTGATGGTACTCGATTGCTGTTTTGAACTGTCCTAGACGATAATAGTCGCAGCCGAGATTGCCATAACTGTTTCCCTCTCCGGCCTTGTCTCCCACCTCTTTAGCAATTTCTAGATCACGTCGATGGTACTCGATTGCTGTTTTGAACTGTCCTAGACTATTATAAGCGTTGCCGAAATTGGCATAACTTGTTCCCTCACCGGCCCTGTCTCCCACTTCTTTAGCAATTTCTAGAAGACGTTGATGGTACTCGATTGCTGTTTTGAACTGTCCTAGACCATAATAAGCGCAGCCGAGATTGCCATAACTGGCTCCTTCTCCGGCCTTGTCTCCCACCTCTTTAGCAATTTCTAGATCACGTTGATGGTACTCGATTGCTGTTTTGAACTGTCCTAGACTATCATAAGCGCAGCCAAGATTGGCATAACTCTTTCCCTCACCGGCCTTGTCTCCCACTTCTTTAGCAATTTCTAGATGACGTTGATGGTACTTGATTGCTGTGTTGAACTGTCCTAGACCATAATAAGCGCAGCCGAGATTGCCATAACTGGTTCCTTCTCCGGCCTTGTCTCCCACTTCTTTAGCAATTTCTAGATGACGTTGATGGTACTCGATTGCCGTTTTGAACTGTCCTAGACTACAATAAGCGCAGCCGAGATTGGCATAGCTCCCTCCCTCTCCGGCCTTGTCTCCCACTTCTTTAGCAATTTCTAGATAAGGTTGATAGTACTGGATTGCTGTTTTGAACTGTCCTAGACTAACATAAACGCAGCCGAGATTGCCATAACTTTTTCCCTCTCCGACCTTGTCTCCCACTTCTTTAGTAATTTTTAGGTGACGTTGATGGTACTGGAATGCTGTTTTGAACTGTCCTAAACCAAGATAAGCGCAGCCGAGGTTGCCATAACTTTCTCCCTCTCCGGCCTTGTCTCCCACCTCTTTAGCAATTTCTAGATGACGTTGATGGTACTTGATTGCTGTTTTGAACTGTCCTAGACCACCATACGCGCAGCCGAGATTTCCATAACTATTTCCCTCTTTGGTCTTGTCTCCTACGTCTTTAGCAATTTCTAGATGACGTTGATGGTAATCGATTGCTGTTTTGAACTGTCCTAGACCCTCATACGCGCAGCCGAGATTGCCATAACTGGTTCCTTCTCCGGCCTTGTCTCCCACTCCTTTAGCAATTTCTAGATAACGTCGATGGTAATCGATTGCTGTTTTGAACTGTCCTAGACTACGATAAGCGCAGCCGAGATTGCCATAACTCTTTCCCTCTCCGGCCTTGTCTCCCACTTCTTTAGCAATTTCTAGATGACGTTGATGGTAATCGATTGCTGTTTTGAACTGTCCTAGACCAAGATAAGCGCAGCCGAGATTGCCATAACTGTTTCCCTCTCCGGCCTTGTCTCCCACTTCTTTAGCAATTTCTAGATGACGTTGATGGTAATCGATTGCTGTTTTGAACTGTCCTAGACCACGATAAGCGCAGCCGAGATTGGCATAACTCTTTCCCTCTCCGGCCTTGTCTCCCACTTCTTTAGCAATTTCTAGATGACGTTGATGGTAATCGATTGCTGTTTTGAACTGTCCTAGACCAAGATAAGCGCAGCCGAGATTGGCATAACTCTTTCCCTCTCCGGCCTTGTCTCCCACTTCTTTAGCAATTTCTAGATGACGTTGATGGTAATCGATTGCTGTTTTGAACTGTCCTAGACTATCATAAGCGCAGCCGAGATTGGCATAACTCTTTCCCTCTCCGGCCTTGTCTCCCACTTCTTTAGCAATTTCTAGATGACGTTGATGGTAATCGATTGCTGTTTTGAACTGTCCTAGACCAAGATAAGCGCAGCCGAGATTGGCATAACTTCTTCCCTCTCCGGCCTTGTCTCCCACTTCTTTAGCAATTTCTAGATGACGTTGATGGTAATCGATTGCTGTTTTGAACTGTCCTAGACCAAGATAAGCGCAGCCGAGATTGGCATAACTTCTTCCCTCTCCGGCCTTGTCTCCCACTTCTTTAGCAATTTCTAGATGACGTTGATGGTAATCGATTGCTGTTTTGAACTGTCCTAGACTACCATAAGCGCAGCCGAGATTGCCATAACTCTTTCCCTCTCCGGCCTTGTCTCCCACTTCTTTAGCAATTTCTAGATGACGTTGATGGTAATCGATTGCTGTTTTGAACTGTCCTAGACCAAGATAAGCGCAGCCGAGATTGGCATAACTGTTTCCCTCTCCGGCCTTGTCTCCCACTTCTTTAGCAATTTCTAGATGACGTTGATGGTAATCGATTGCTGTTTTGAACTGTCCTAGACTATCGATAAGCGCAGCCGAGATTGCCATAACTCTTTCCCTCTCCGGCCTTGTCTCCCACTTCTTTAGCAATTTCTAGATGACGTTGATGGTAATCGATTGCTGTTTTGAACTGTCCTTGATTATAATGAGCTATTCCTAGAAGGTTACAACGGATTCCCTCTTCGGTCTTTTCTCTGTCTACTTTGGCATTTCCCATAATACACTCGTGGCTCTCTATTAATGTTTGAGATTTGCTCAGTAAGTGAAGCAGAGGTTTGTTATCCTTCTCAATCTTATATGGGTTAAGAATAAATAACTGATGAGTGGATGTGTACAAATTTCAATAAAAATAAAAATATTAGAGGTAAAATTCTATAAGTTGAGACATTTCATGTATGTGAATCGCTGAGAAAATAAGTATGTCAGTCAAATCCTAGAACCTTACATTTAAAATTTGCATTTTTACATTAACTGAAATGATACTGATTCTAATTTTGAAACAATGGCTGAAATATTTCCAGATTGTGAATCGAAAAAGCTTCAAGAATTTATAGAAAATGCAGCAAATGTAAACACCAAAAAAAAAGACCTTTATGTGGCCAACAGTTCGGACGACGTGGGCTGAAGAAAAACGGATGCGTCTGGATATTATGAGCTTCGAAGCCAAGGAAATTGATGTGAATCTGAAGAAGTTTTTATCTCAGAGAGAATGACGACTCGGACTATAAGTCAGACAGTTTGGGGTTAATGTCAGCGTCACTGGACGTTCTTTTAATGGAAGCTCGTGGTATTTTGCAGAATTTTGGAACATCGCTCTCGCGGTGTTTTTCTCAAACACCCCTAAAAAACATGCGCTATTCCCTAAACAAACCTTAGAAAAGGACATACCTGTCGAAAGTGGATTTCTTTTGACGATTTCCTATTTTAAATATTTTCTTACCAGAGTGAATATTAATATAAGTGTTAACAAGCTCACTAGGCGTAATCATTGTTTGGTTTGGGCGTCCTGCTGATATTCTTAGAGAGACACTGATGAGGGGCGTTCTGCGAATTAGATAAAATGCCCCTTCTGTCAAATGAAATGTTTTGGAATAACTGAAAATATTTTAGTTTCTTTTAACTGCTCAGCTTGGTGTTACTGAAAACTGCTTGCATTTCTTTGCGTATAACGTTTGAAACACTCGTTAAAGGATACGGCCAATCCCATATGTAGCCAGCTCCTTGCTCCTTTGTACAAGCAAAGCTCCACGGAAGCACTGGCGGCTGAGAAGGTAATGACGTGAGGTATCTAATTAATTATTATCCACATATAAAAGTAGCCAGAAAATTGTCTCACACCCCATTCACATGAGCAAAACATTTTTAGTCAAACCGGGTTTAACTGAATGAAAACCAGAAAGAGAGGACTGAAAAACTGAATTTTCCATAGAATTCATACAATCGCTTATTTGCATTTTCAATATGTTATATGTGAAAAAAAATTTAAACTGTATTTAACAAAACGACTTCAAACATGTTTAATCTTTGGTGTAAATGAACCATTACCGGTTTAATTTTCATTTATAGCTCACTGACCTTAACTTGCACTTTTTATCTACATAGCAAACATTTACGGACCAGTTATTGTTGATACCCGAGGTACAGTCAGCTGCCGTAATCCATACAATTCTCTTGAAGAAACCACAGCAAAGTGGTTTGATGAATTTTGACTGCAACACCCACCTTTCTTAATAGCTTTGATTAAATTGGGTTCCAACTGAACAGAAACTGTTGCATCATTGAGACATTCTTCGTAGTTTCCTAAGGAATTCAGGAACTAAGTGTCAGTCGTCATCACGTGCCAATTTACGTATCCGTCTTTATACCTGTCCTAGACTTGGCCTTAGTTAAAACCAGGAGAAAATCATTTTATCGGGTAAAATTGGGGGAGATAAGGTTCACATTTTGACCCAGATTTGACCCAGATTTAAGAGAATGTGGTCAAACACCTTCGTTTTTCGCCTCTTGTCCTTTAGATATTTCAAACTTGGCAACTGGGTATGATCACAAGAAACTCACAGAGTTCATCTCAGGGCAATTCTCCTCATATTGATTTTTAGTTTGTGGTTTACTTATCAAAGAAGCAGCTCTACGCTTCCTTGGTATCATATTAGTCCATCGCTGGGGTTGCCTTCTTATGCTGAATAAGCCGACGCATACCCGAATTTCCTGAGTGCTATATTACAAATTATTTCAATTCTCCTTAGGGAACGATGTGTTTCGGAAAAAGTATTGTTCTTTGCAACCTTGAAGACCATGAAAAAAAAAAAAATTACTCGGATCTGGGAATTTCGGTTTTTCTATAGCTTTTCTTCGCTTTAGACTATATGACCCTGTATTGACCATATTTGATTGCTTTTCCGGGCATCTTTTGAGAAGATTCCTTGCTTTTTTTCTCCATAAAATTCGTCTTTTAAAAAATTCATTGATTCTTAAGTTAGCAGATAGCCGAGCCATTATTTCGGTAGTCGAGTCAGCAGAATATGAGTCACAACGACTGGCTAGGGAGGACATGACGTCACGTAAGAGGATTACCACCTTGATTTAAGGATACGCACTTTTTGAGGGGTAACCACCATAAACTAAATTGTTCCGTTTTAGCTTGATATAATCGTAAGCCGGCTGAGACGCAACAATTCGAAATGGAAAATGTTATACTGAGTCAATTAGACGCGTAATTAATTTTAACCACAGAACGGATAAACCTCCGCACAACAACAGTCCTGAGATGTTGGTCTTCGAACCTGTGTGGGAATTTCGATATTCTTATTAGTTGCTTTGCAATTTATTTGGCAAGTATACTTTTCATAATTTACGGTAAGAATATCTCACAATTGCGATGAAACTTTGCAGGAGAATTTCATCCTAATGGAGAATTTCCACGTGTGCGATCGACATGAAATATTAAAGTTGCCAGTTTCATTTCAATATTCATGCGATAAAAGGATGCAAAAATGGCAGGGAAGACAGCAGGCGAGGATAAAATCCCGTTTAAAATGGGTGCAGAATGTACATTCATTAACTTCACGGAGTACATTCCATAAAGAATTTAGTAGTTTTAAAAAGATTCTTACCCAAATGAAAATGAGCTGCTGCTCTGTTGCTATAAAGCTTGGCGTTCAGCCGTATATCTTCGCAGTTCACGTGAAGACCTTCCGAGTAGGAGTTTATCGCGTTTTGATGTTCTTCCTGTCTGTATTCTTTGTTACCTTCCTCGAGACATACTCTTGCTATATCTGAAAACACACCAGTTTAACATTAATGATTTCGTTTTAACAAGGTTTCGTTTTCATGTCGTTAGATCCCCTTTCTAATTCCTATCCTTTACAGGCCTTTCGTTCTTTTTGAACAGTCGGTTACTGTATACATGGGCCCGCCGACCATTAACCCTCACCCCACTGATATCTATAAGTTTTATAAACCGTTAACTCTAAGATGATGTTTTGAATCACTTCAAATGGTCTCCAGACCAATGAAATTCGGGAACTCTGGCCATATATGGTGTGGTGTGTTTGAAGGAACGCAGAATCAGATAAAACTTTTTGTAAACGTTATTGCCCATTTGATTTCCACGATCAGTCTCCTCTCGACTTTATTTGCAAGTGTTTTATCTCAAATGTTTTTAAATTGTATCAGGATATATTTAGCAAGAGTAGTGATTCATAATTTATATTGCAACTGCAAAAGCGTACGTCTCGACATTTTCTTTGATTTTGATTCAAATCTATCCCTGATACTGAGTATGATACTAATTTTTTCATTACATTTTTCTTTTATTTCTCGCGGTAATAGATTTAATGATGATTTTCATTCCATGTATATGTATACAATTGTACACCTCGCACTGACAGCTTGTTCGTGACCCACGCAAAAAAAAATTCAGTGTTTCTCTGGTGATAAAGTTTGAAATTCGAACATATAGTTTCTGTTTCAAAAGTTATTCACAGAATAGGTAAAAAAATTTAATAAAAATGTGCTTAGTTAAAAACCATACCGAGGCGTCTTTTAAAGAATCTAATTTCTCACCTCTTAATGGATCATCGTACACCTCCAGTTTGGTGTCATTTGATGTCACTTGCCTTTCGTTTGTCCCTGAAATTCGATCATTTGATAAACATTATTACTATTGCCAGAGAAAACGCAAAAATATGAAAAATAAAACTTCATTAAAATGAATTATTATGCATAAAAATTCATTTATAGTCCATGCGAATTGCTCAAATTATGACGACCGAGTTTGAAAAGCGCTAGGTCAAAACTGGTGTTCAGTTCCTTTTTCCGTGATGTCATCAGCCATTTTGAATCTTTATGCAGATTACCGCTGTACTTCCAGTCCCAGACTTGCCACTCTTGATAATGCCCACTAAAGATGTACTTAACTATTCCATCACTAAACATCACAACCGCTTCAAAATGACCATGTAGCAGTGTTTTTCTATGGCTCTCTCTCACCTGTGACCCGAATCTCATTGTTCAAATCCAGTCCTTCTCCCGTTGTCGGAAGTTTACTCTCCGCCATAGCTGGAAATAAAATAGAATAGAATTTTACTGCGCTTGAAAACATCCTCACGAAACAAAAAAGGATACTAAAATGAAAATAATACAAAAAGAAAGGCGGAGACCAACTTGTCTCTGATACTTAGATAAAACGAAAGAGTGAGAATTTCAAAGTTTTCTCCCTCATGCTGTTGTGATGGGATTTTGCTTAAAAAATTCCCCACTCTCCGGATACG